AAGGAGAAAAGCCGCGAGACAATACGACCCCCCTCCCTTCTACCAATTCTCAGATTTTCCCCAACTTCCTGCCACTTTTTTCCAAAATTTCCCGAAAAGTTCCCTACTTTTCCCCAAAAATTTTGCTATCGTGCGGGGGTGGGGGAACGGGTGGAGGCATATAGTACGAATGAAACAGGAAAATCAGGAAAAGTCAACCACCACTCCTAGAAAGGCCAGAAAGTAAATACGACCCCCCCCCTCCCAACAATGAGCAAGTACGACCCCCCTCCCTTTACAACGTCCGTGAAGCGAGAAAAATCAACTATCAAAATAAATTTTTCTCAGCCCAAATACGACCCCCCTCTCCTGGCGGCCAAATACGACCCCCCTGTTGGGGATTCCCCAACAACGATGTGCCCTTTTGTTCTGTGCATCGTCGTTACTTCCCGTTTATTGCCTCTACTAGAGTTGACAAGCATGCTTTCTCCCACCTGAGCCGAACTGCACACAGCAGTCTTACTTTAATGCTTCACGAAATCTTCATGTGACTTTCAAAGTAGTAACAAAAGCTGACGGAAGTTCCCTTATATGCTGCCTTTCAAGGGTAACCATGGAGATGCCGTTGAAGTTGATTTTGTCCTTAATGGGCATGCATTTATGTAAGAACGCTCAGATCGCTAACAGCAGGGTTTCTAGATTTGCCCTAAAATCTGTTTTTTTTTCTACCGCTTGACCAATGACGATCCGCGAGACGGAATCTGCTCCTCCAGAAAATACGGAGCGCCCACAGCCATTGCCAACACATGTCCTCTGAATCGAATCCTAACCTTCGACTCGAACACTACCATCGATGATCGCTCTCAGCAAGGGGTTGTATTCGAGACCCAGAAGAGGAGATTCCATTTCTCACGTTGGACGGGGTGTGCATGACGGGGAATTGTAAGAGTTTTTCTGGTAGTTTGAAGATAAGTGAGATTCCAGTTTTGAGGTATAGGGGGTAGTAAATCGTCATGGCGCGCCTGAATGGAGTCTAGTGATAAATCGTACCGCCACTACCGTCTCCCTCAGCCCCATGAAAGTGTAAAGATTTGACATGCCACATCCTCTATAGCTACACTACGGACCTAAAGACACGGTATGCAATAGTAAAATGACGTGTATAGCGTTCGTCATATGATATACGCGGTACGCGGTTGCACTTTTATGAGGAAAACAGCAAAAGGCACAGTGAAGAACGTCCCAAATAAAACTTTTCTCCATTCCTACATTGCTGGAAAACTCGTGTCCAGAGTTGATATTGCTTGATTGCTTTTTCTTTTTCTTGTATCCTCTTTGTTCCCTTTCACTTGTTTTTTGACCCTACCTAACCTGATGACAGCTGCATTAGTTACTAGTACTAGTAATAGTTACTTCGGTGAAGGTGTCGTCGATTTCTGCGAAATGTCTACAGCCAGCAATGAAAAAGCGCGAGTAAATTTTAAACAAGCGCCCATCAAGACCCGGCATTTGGGAGGAGGACCTTTGTAGTGGGGCTGCGGAGCCTTCTTCTCTTCTACCCTTGATGTCACTGCCCGCTGCCGGCCCGGCGCAGTTTGCTCAGTGGGAGCACCAAATGGTTCTCAGCAAAGCCTTGTTAAGACATAAAGCTCCTGTGATCAAAGCGGCTGGCTCACTTACACACTGGCATGGCTTCACAAGACGTTGACACAGTTTCACGACCTTTGAGACTTGTTAACATGCAACTGGGAAATAGGCAACGAACGATCAAGCCCAAAATGTCCCTCCAAGCTGATCACGGTCTTCGCGTTTTTTGGCGCGGCGATAGTGGCACGTTCCAGTCGGCTCAGGACGAGAACACTCTACTCCCAGGTAATCGCACGCATTCTTGACATTACCCGGAGGATAACGGCGATCACGACCGGATTGACGCCAATGGTATTCCGGTCGGCTGACAGGTTGCCCTTTCCTGGAAGGGAACTACATCGCATTTTAGGTCTCGCATACCTATGGAGCACGTTTCCGCTGTGCAAAAAGCGAATCGCTCGGAATAGCTGACACATTATGTACTGCTTGTGGACGTCCTTCAAAATCGTCATCTTTTTGATGACATTATGCAAATCAGCTTCCATGTATTCGAAACACCAGGTAGATATCCCTGAAATCAAACCAGTTCACAGCCAGAATCAACCGAAATTACTGTGTACTGGTCGCAACTGCACCAAAATTGTTTAAAATCAGTGAGGGGAAGCTGGCAAGGACTCTGGTGAGGTTAATGTAGATACAGTCATTATCCCTGCAAACGAGGGTGCGTTTGAGGGGACTGGTTTGGAACGGGGCCAGAGCGTCCGCTCCCAAAAATGTTGCCATATTGGGACCACAACAAACGGAAGGTAAGGCAGCGTTCAGACTTCGCGACGGCAGCGCTTCGGTCGCGCGTTCGACGCGATCGATGCGCATGCTGCATCGATCGCGTCGAACGCGCGACCGAAGCGCTGCCGTTGCGAAGTCTGAACGCTGCCTAAGGCCTCCCTGGCTAGATCCCAATTCACGGCACGCCTCCTCATTCGTAAGGATGATGACTGTTCCTACGGTATCCTCAACTCATCTCTTGACAGCCTGCCGTTGACGAGTTTGGTGTAATTGCAAATAAAGCGTGACACCAGTCTGCCGTACCTGTCATTGTCAGCCTTGTGAATGTTGAACAGCTTGATGACATTCGGATGTCGTCCGAATTCCTGCAGGAACATCACTTCACGGAATGTCCGTTGAGAGTCTGTTTGATTCCGGAACGCATCAAATATCTGAAATAATTTTTCCATAAATCAGCTTTACAGTATGAACAGCGAAAAAATCCGGTGAGCACAGCCCAAATCCCGAAGATAGGGTGGGCGTGGCCTTGGATCTTATTTTGGTGTAGCTGCGGCAGCATTTTTTTCGTTTTGGGACGATTTTAATCATGTATTTGTTGAGCACAGGACAGAATGACAAGAGATAGATTGTTTCAAATGGAAATATCTCACGGTGACCGCCATGTTCAAATGAAGCGAGCAGCCACGTCCACTTTATCTCTGAGATATGAAAGGTATGAGGGAATAACTCGCGTTGCCTGCTGCACACTCGCAGCGTACTATACGCTGTGAGCATGCCGCGGGCGCGACCGCACGCAGAGTTGTCATGTGACACTCAGTCATACCCTACAGACAAGCGGGTTCATTATCACAAAGTTTCTTTGAGACCTGAGAGACGGAGCCCTCCTTGAGCAAAACAACTCCATAAAACCAATTTCCAGAACCGGAATTCTCATCGCGTCACCCCCTCCCCCCTCCGCCTTTGTGCTCGCTATGACACCAGAGGTAGCCCTTGGTATTCACAGCAACACGCCGATAGCAACTCACATTTCATCTATGCCGATAGAAAGCCGATAGTAATGCACGCCTTCTGATGGTCTACGGAGTGTAGGGCACAATTCCCACAGTTTCTGCGCCATTAAAGTATCTCCAATAAAGGGACTGGGCGAAAAGCAGGGGGGGGGAGCGCGATGCCCGTGCACCTAATCATACATTCTAGCCCCAACAACTAGACCTAGTGACACACACTCATCACACCCTGTTTTCAAAAGAAGCCTAGTTGACACACACTCATCACACCCTGTTTTCAAAAGAAGAATCACAAGCTCCGAGCACTAAAGAGTTTTCGCAATCTCTCATGTTCATTTGAAGGCACACCCCTGTTTTGGCAATTGTTAGTTGTGCGGGATTAATACCAATGACAAGATGGCGAATAACACAAAAGTGAAGAAGAACCAGCCCGAAATTCCTCATATAGAACCCCATGCCGAACCATGTTTGAACGTGCGTAAGGCGAAAAAGGGCGTGATCGAACGAGTTTTCACCTGTTGGTGCCACCTCTTCCTCCTGATCACCTCATTCTCACCATTTGAGGGAGAGAGAGAGAGAGAGAGCTAGTAATGGAACAAACATACCAGCGGGAAACCTTTGGGGATTGAAGTGGGCGTTTGCATGGTTGGTGGGCGGGGCCGTGGCCTCACCAACCCCGCTTGCGTCTCTGCGGGGATCTCGAGCCGAATCTGGCGCCAATGTTCAGCCGTTCGGCTGTCCAAAAATTGACACTCACTACAACTTTTCACATCACTTCGAAAAATTTCACATCACTCCGAAAAAGCCCCCAACCTGCCTCCTTGTGCTCAAGCAGATAAGTGTGCTGTGCTCAAGCTTGCCAAAACCAAGCCCTAGTAGCAAACCTGCATCGTATCCAAACCAAGTACAATAAATACAACAACACAAGAAAAATCCTCATCTGTTAGTGGAAACCCTTTGGAGAATGTTTCGAAGATCAGAGACTTTACAAATTGCAAAATAATGCAAAATAACACCTTCACCCCCTTCTCTCCACCGACTAACCATTGATAAATACGACCTCCCTTCGCAGGGCATTCCAACGCACGACGTGCCCTCCCGGAACACTGAACCACTCGTGCAGGTAAGACTAGAAAGGGCTTGACGGGAAGGGGGCTGGCGGGAAACTGCGCGCAGACTGCGACCAAAAGAAACAGATAACAGGTGCTCAGTCATGAACCATCAAAAACTCATCGGTAGAGAAAAGGAACGAAAAAAGTTTGGAAACACCCTGAGCACATACCCCCCTCCTAGCAAGGGGACCAGCGCCTTGGACGAGTTCATCATGAGGACAAGCCGAATCAGCAGGATTCTAGGTGCAACCAATTCACGGCAAGAGCATAGGAAATCATCCTACGACGCTCCAGGCAACGCTATATACAAGTAGTTCCGCTTGTAAGCCGTTGTCTTGCAGAGTTACAGTACGCGGTTGCACCGGTTGCAAAACTCACGCGTCTCTAGCTTCGGTAACTCGCTAGTTTGAGTGGCGAAACTGGTATGTATTCTGCAAATGTGGACAAGGCCAAATACGGAGGCATTTCGCTGACCACTTGATCGCGGGAAGTGCCTTGACAAGGGATATCGGGAGCGTGGGCGAAAGACCAGATATAAGGGATGGGAGATCGAAACGATGGCAGAGATGACAGGCCACCACACAAGCAGTAATATCGTTCGCCTACGGACGGAACCGCTACTGGTGGGCGGGCCGCTGCGGTTTTCGACGGTCCCATCGCGCCCATCGTTCATTTTCGAGCCTTAGTCATGTCAACATAGTGCAGCCTCTGTAGAACGGGTCATTGTGGGCTTCAGTAGGACTTTGCAAGATGACTCACTTTGGGGGGGGGGGTCCACGGGGATAGGAAGCCCCACTAATTCCAATCAAGTGGCAGGCTTTTCAAGCCTTTCAAAAATTGAATTGTTCTGACTATGTTTCACTCTTTCTAGGAAAAATCGGGCAGAAAAATAAAAAAAATGAGAAGAATAAAAGGGAAAAAAGTCGATTTTCAACAACTGTTATGCCATGTCTGCGTGAACTTGCGCTAACAGAAATCTGTTTTTGAATAATATGAGGATCGTGAGCCGTACAACGCGCATGTTTCATTCACCGTTTAACATGGTGACACTGGGAATTGATTCACTACAGCTTGCAAGAAGTCCAGGAGCCCTGGCACCGATCCCCAGGAGTGCAAAAAGCAAAACACGAGTAGTTTTGAGATCCTCTTTTTTTCTAAGCCGGAATGCAGGATGGGGAGTATTACAATCAGGGCATGCCCAGTTGCTGAGAAGAATTTTTCGCAGTGTAGGGTTCCCTCAAATGTCCTCCTCTGGCACGATCCCCCCTTTACCCATCCTAGCTACCATTCCATGTTACTGTTTTTCTTCCAACTATCTCCACTCCAGCACTTCAGTTTTCCAGCGATTCTCTGTGGGAGGGGGGCAGGGGGGGAGCAGAATCATATGGCTCATGGGTAACGCCAGCAAATGGAAACAAAGGCGAGCGAATAC